TACTCCTGACCTTCAGTCCCTATTCTTGTATAAGTAGAATACCTAAACTACTCAAGGATTTTAGACATCAGACAAAAACAGGGAATCAAATTGCTCCAAACTATAATCTGTCTGCAAGAAAGCAATGAAATGTTACGAAGACCAGATAGACAGCTTCTAGTAAACTGCATCACTCACCATCCAGATGGGGTCAAGGCAATTTTCATCAATCTTCTGTGATGGTACTCTTGAAGCATGCTAAGTTTGTGGGCTAGTTCATCTGCCAGCTTAGTTTACTTAGAAGCATCAGTTAGATCCTGAACCACAGGAACTGGAAAAATTGGAGAGGAGGAGGAAGGTCTGACATATAATCTAGGAGTAAAGTATCTATCTGATATTTTCCAGGCACATATATTTCAAGACACCAAACTGTCTAAGAGATAGCTGTGCTGCTGCTGTAAATTTTCTGTTACATACATATATGTATAGAACAAAGTTTAATGAATAGAGCAAAGCTACAGCCATAGGACAGTCTATGTCTTGAAGAATTTTATTTCATTGGCAAAAGTGGTTAATTCAAAGCTCTTGGCAAGCACATCCATGCTGAAGGAGCGATCAAGAAAGGGCAGCAACAGGGAAAAGATGATAAGCGTTACAAAACAAAATTGTTCTATAGCCCAAATCCAGCAGTGATGTGGCAGGTTTAAGGATTAAGCTAAAAGGCTCCTCTTTTGGAAGCAGCACCACACATATGCTCTGTGCAAAAGTTCTGAAGCTGATAGCTACCAAAATTTACTAGTCAAACATGGACCAGTCAGTGTATTTCTAGAGATACAATAACTTTTCAGCTGAAATCCTAGCTTAAACATTTTAAAAGTATGTTTTCATTTTGATAAGTCACAATTAGGCTATTTGACTACAGTAGCTTAATAACCCTTTAGATCCTCCTCTATAAAAACTCTCATAACTTAAAAGTGGTTTTGTATTTCCTTTAATGTCAGATTTCAGCTTCTTAAACTGCCTAACCAGTTATTAATCAATTGAGCTCTTGTTCCTCAGGTAGCCTGGCTGTGCTGAAATTAGAATTAAGAGTCACAGGATAATTAAGGTTGGCACAGATTTTGGGAGGCTTGCAGCCCAGCATGCTACTTTATATAGCCATCAGATCAGATTGCTCAGGGTTTTATTCTGCCTGCTCTTGAAAACCCTGAAGCATGGAGACAACACTGTGAGATCCTGGATCCAAATCTCACTGAGTTATTGATATGGATCAGAACCAACTCACTGTGAGTGTAGCGGGGGCAGGGCTTGGGGAGGAAGGACTGGGCCTAGACCTGCAGGTACATGTTGTGATGTTCTCCAAACTGTGTTATGCTGGAGGTCAGATGAGAATAATGATATAATCCCCTGTGGCCTTAAATATCTGTGTATTTTTCCCAGTGACTCTTACAACAGAAAAAAACCTCATTTCATTCGGTAGAAAATCCAAACAAGACAGAATTAGTTAAGAAAGCTGCTTGCTTTCTTAACTCCTTTTTTACGCTGTCCAAAGTTATATGATGAAAGCTGACAATGACAGTTCAAAAGAACCTGCATGTGTCCTAAGGATCTACTGCTTTCAACTCCAAAATATTTCTTCAGACTGTTTACCAAAAAGCACAGAGATGAAAAAAGTAGAGGGTGGTAAGAAAAAGTACTTTGGAGGCTATAGAATATTAAGTTGTCTATATGAGCCTGAGAAATATATGCCTTGAATTGTGAGATTACTAGGTGCCTGGAAGAGCAATTAGTATTTACTGAAGAAAAAGAGTTTACCCTAAAGCCAAATTAACCTAAAGCACACTACAAAAATGCATATTTTAGACTAATATGGATAGCTTCACCAGAGTGACCTGAGCAGAATCTGTTCTGTTCCTGCATTCCCACACACTGAGGGCTGAGACAGGTCTGTATGGGGTTACAGGCAGAACTTCTTTCCAGAGTTGTCAGTCCCTTACATGTCTTAAGTCCATTTAAAATGGACAACAGAAATTAAGAATAACAGAAATGTCTGCAATCTTCTACAGACTGTTGGGCCATTTTAGAAGGACAGTCTTTAAAGTTTTGCTATACAAAGAACAGCAAAGAATATATTTGCTACACAAAGAATCAAATACAAATTGGTATACAAAGAATCCTGATACTCAGTACCTGTATTTGTCACCTGCACACAATTCTTAACAGTTCTTCTGTTGCCATATGAGGGCTCCTTATTTCCTGCCAGCCAGTTCAGTATTAGTAGGAGAGTGGCTGTGAGAGGAGGCTCTTTACCAGAAAACGAATAGACCAGAATGACTGGACGAAGAGAGGAAATAACACCAGACAACAGGACATACAGTGATTGGGAAGAGGCCAGAGGCTATTGTGCCAGTGTAGGCACTGACTGGGTTAATACAAAATCTATAACAATTTATAACTCAACTGTACCTATGGTCATTTTTTTATACCACAGTGGAACACCATCACAACAAAAAAAGAAGATCCCACCATACCTGGCCATCCCTATTCCGAAATTATTTTCGTTGAAACGAGCTTCTCAGAGAGAACTGTTCTTAATTACAGTTCTTGAAATCTCTTTTTAGATAGTTTGCATGGGATATGTCAAATGAAAGAGGAAAAGCTTAATAGGATTAAGCAGAGAAAGGTGTGTTCAGGGTTTCTGTGATCAGCTCTTATTAATCAGTCTGAGTCTCTTCAAAACTCATTTGCCAGTGGAGAAGTCAGCCCAAATACCATCCACTAGACACACATTTTTTCCAGAACAATTATCTGCAGACTAGAAAGATTCAAATTAATCTCTTTGAGTTAGAGCCACTCAATGTTTTAAAACTGTTGCACTATTAGTAAGGACATATTTTGTTTTCTGAGTATATCAGCTTTCAGGATCTACTTCAGCTGCTTTAAGGAATGGACAATCACAATTTTCAATGACAATAGAGGTTTGCATTAGTACTATGCCTCTGAACTCTATGGTGTATCTAACCAGAGGCTGCTGCAGAACATATAGGAACAAACAGTACCCAACACAATAACAGAAGTTCTCTCTCTAATCAATTGGGAAATACAAAGCATGTAACAACACACATGCTGAGTGACTGCATTGCCTTAAATAGTGTTATAAACAGTACTCAGATAGGCAGGCAGTCCACTGACTGTTTTGAGTGCCTAACTAGGGACTTGCTGACAGAAGAGGTATCCAGAAGAACAAATTCAACGCAGCATATATGCCTCTAAATTGCAAGATCTAAGGCCTCTCAACAATTTTACCAATAGTTTCATATGAAAACCAGTGAATTGAAAAGATAATGAAAAGTGTGCAGGGGGCCACTGTGATATCTGCAACAAAGGCTCAAGAGGAGGGGAGGGGAAATACATGTACAAGCGCTGCTCTATGGAATAATGCTCCAAAGGTATCTAGAAAATCTCTCTATGGGACTTCTCCAGTCATCTCGGTCTGCAATATGAACATATCACAGTCCAACACTCCAAGAAGGCTCGAGCGGAGTTTTCCCCTTCCCTCGGGTCAGTTCAGAGTGAGAAAAAGATTTTTATGGACATCAAGCTTTCCTGTTTTGACCTGTATCAGAGTCAAGCCCCATTCTAGAGACCACAGGTCTTTACCCTTCCTAGTTTCTTCCTGTTTGATTTAATCAACAACAGTAGAAGCTGCTGGGAGGAAAAAAACCTGTAGAGTGAGAGTATTTACTGATTCCATTCTTGGGCTTACAGTAGGTAAGCCATCAGGATAAAAGTTGCTCTGGACGTATCTTACTACAAATATAATGGAAAAGCATCTAGAGCTGAAAGCCTGTGTGTTACAGATTATTTGTTTGTTCAGTAAAACCCATCAGCATGCCTGTGTGCTACCTGCTCCCCATATCTGCTGACACACCACACTGCCTGCATATGCAAACCACAAGAAAACAGAGCAATACTGAAATACTCCAAGGTGGAAACTTGGTATATCAAAAGCCTGCAGAAATACCAGTGGAAGCAAAATCACATATTTCTCTGCATCTTCAACCAACATTCAATTTCAAAAAATCATTCACTCTGATGAAACATAAACCAACAAATGCTTTAGAAATCAAACTCACTTTTCACTACACAAAATAAATGACACTGCTTCTTCTGAAATCCTCCTTCTTCTTCCTGTGTTGTCAGAGTCCAGATTAAAAAAATATAGTTACTGCATTCTTCTACCTATCAGTGTAGAACTGGTAGGAACTGGGAAACAAACCACAGCTTTGTCCAGACAAATAGCTGTCAAGCCTGAGAATAATGTATTTCAAAGGTCAGGAATTACTGATAGACACATCATCTACCAACTAGCCGCAGGCCCTCTCTGTACATAAGCTGCAAAATATTGGGCTGAACTAATCCAAACATACTATCTTCTTTTTTGGTAGCAGTCTGGGCCAAGTACTAATATACAACATCTCACATCTTACAGCAAACTCCCAGCTTTTCCACTTGAAAGAAGTAAATTAGGACCCACTAATTTAAACTGCTAAAAATCACGTAAGTACATTGACATCTCTAAGGTATCTGTCTTTTTTTTTTTTTTTTTTTTTTGTATTTTGTTATTCCATGCAGCCACAGCTAAAGATTTGGGCTTTAGTTTTGCTTCTGATCCATTGTAAATAGTATCCATTCTGGATCTGTCTAAGTGGGCAAGCAAAGTGCAAAGCCATGCAAATCTGATTAGCTTACAAGAAGGTATTAATGCAATGCTGACCACCCTCACTGATTAACGCCAGAGGCTCACCAGAGACAAATATTCGAGACTAACAAACTCCACCCTATCTAGCAGCCACAGTTAACATTTCATACGTTTCACATTATTTCTGAACCCTTCCCCCCAGCCCCCCACCCCACAATGTTTAACGACTAAGTTCCTAAAAATGAAGGTGGGAAGAGAACATGCTTAGTACACAGAATGAAAGGCAGTTTATGCTTTAGGACATCTCCCTCTCACTTACCTACTCTCGTAGGAAATATGTCCTCATTGTTGATTTGCACCTCGATCCAGTCCATGAGAAGATTCATATACTGGGGTGCTGGCAATGCTGTGGGCTTCTTGTATTTCAGGTCATCCTGCCAGCGGTACTCGTACTTAGGGCCTCCCGACATCACTGGGCAGGTCCTCTCCGTGCAGAACTCACAGATAGTTCCATAAATGAGGTTGATCCTATTGAAGAAGTCAACCACATGAACAGCCACCCAGTCATTTTGGTCTTCTCCACTGGGCAACTGCACAGCTGCTTTCAAGTCCAGGCCTGAGTAGAGAGATGCCTGAGCTCGTTTGTGAAGTTCAAACCTCTGGGTTCCAGGCTCAAACTTGCGTTTTGGACGGAAAGTCTTATCTTTATTAAAGACTTGCTTCAGTGCAATGGACATGTCTGCTAATCTTCTCTTCTGCAGTAGCTGGCAGAAAACCACGTCTGAGATTTAATGCAGGTATCTGAAAAGAGTTGCTCCCTATCACAGGTCCTCCAGGCTCTGCTTTTTTTCCCAGAGAAGCTCGTATTAATTAGAGCAATCTAGTAGCTCTTCCTCTTGAAAGCCTCCTCAAAAGACATCAAGTCCCTAAGGATATAGAAACAATACACATCAGTGGTAAGCTGGAGTCTGGTCCTGTCAGTTTGATACTGTTTTACCATAATTTTCAAGTAATTATAAGCTGAAAGTACGTAACAAGCTAGCCTTAAAAACTGGCCAAACATTAACTTGATGACAAATTAAAGGCAAAAAAAAAAAAGTGTCTCATTTTTCAAAGTATTACAGAATTAACTTTGTTCTTTTTAAATATCTACCCAAATAGAGGCTCTCAAGTTATAAAGTTGGGATTTTAATAAACATTTTATAACCTCCTGATTTTAAAACTAACCTTTTCATTTTGCTGTATTTTTACAGAGATCATATAACATACAAAATGTGTGTATAAGTTTAGTAGACAAAATACTATGTGACAATTTAGAAGGTATATCTAACTGCTTCTTAAGTGACCAATGGTGCCTCAAAAATTTGCCATAGCTGTGGTGCTCTTCTCTGTAGGGAAACAAAATCCCCAGGCAAAACTTCTCCTTATTTGTTCTCCATTTTAAATTACTGAGCTATTTGCTTTTGCAAATGTCATAGAACCTACTTAGAGTGAAAACTGCAGTATTGCACAGAAGTAACTCCTATTTCCCACAGATGCATGGAGATTGTTACTTTTCTTGATCCACCTTCAAAAACTCAGTAGTGGGACTCAGTTTTCTATTGTATTGTATAGAATTATTAGAAAGCAATTGTAAAGCTGACACTTTTTTTTTTAATAGCTCTACTCATCTTCTCTACAGGGGAATACTTGGCATTGTTGTTCTTACAAAAACAAGAATATAGACTCTGCGTTGTTCCATCTAACCTACTCTGAGAATAAAGAATGGTTTAATAGCGAACCAGGTGGAAAGATAAATTACTGCATTAGAGTTTTGTCCGCTCTTATACCTGAAAAAAGTGTACATCATCACTAAATGTAGGCAGTTAGTAGGTGACAGGGTAGATAGGCGCTGTCTCAGACTTTGTTTTAGTAATGAAGATTTTATTAATAAAGACAGATAACAAACATTTTATTCTGTGGATTATTTAAATTAAATAACACAATATTTGTTAAATTTGCACAGAAATACAAAAGTCCCACCCTATCAGCGGCTGATGAATTCTTATGAGATTTTGTATGCACCACTGTTTCATTTAAGAGAAATCATATCCATGAAAATTTTACAAGTCTGTGTGTGCCTAGCACTAATTCTTCTGAAGAGTTGCCCAAAGATTTGCTGAGGGGAGAAGAAAGGAAGAGAAAAAGGTGATTCTTTTTTCTTAATCACCACGAGAAAGCAACACCTTCCCAAGCAAGAAGAAATTTGGCATGCTATACCCTGTGCCCTCACAATAGGGTGTAAATGCCATAAAAAATCCTCTCCCAAAGAGCTGAAAGATTAGCTTTCAGCCAATTTGTCAGCAAGCAGCAGTTACAGAAAACCAGCAGTGAAGTGCTTGTTTTAACTTCTGCTAATGGTATGATGAAGGGATACTCCAACAGTGATTTTATAAACAGTCATTCTTTCTGAGCCAGCAAAATAGAAGCAGTTGGGGAATGAACTCCAGGGAGATTACTGTCATATCTGAAACACCCGTTGAGTAACGTTCAAAGACAGAGATCCTGAATTATCAAATCCAGAAATTCTGAAACCCGACAAAGGTCATGGAAAGAAGACTTTAAAGAAAACTAGCCTTGGAACAGCTAAGTGTTGGCAGGAAATGCATGTACTTTTAAACAGTCAACAGTCAACTTTGCCCTGCAGTTTGTTGTTTGTTGCTAAGATCCACAACCTCCGGTTCTCAAATACTCTGCTGCAGACAGCTGTTTACTTAAAAGCCTTTCAAAGAATAGGCGAGTACTGCTGGATAGACTGAGCTTGTGACTGACACACTTGGAGATGCCATGGAGCCATTGTCCCAGTTTGCAGTAATAAGGAGGTTAACTCCAGAGTTTTACAGCTCAGGCAACTACTTGTTTTCCCATTTTAATATACCTGATGTTCTTGTGTGGCTACTTTGACTGCCTTCCTCACCTGCAAATATTCACCAGAACATGTAAGGAGTTTTTATTTACAACAATATGCTGAGCACCAAATAAAACTCATCTTCAAAAGAGACATTTTAAAGCATAGTACTCACTGCTGTTAAACCTTTTCCAGAAAAAACAGAAAACATCACATTTTATGAACTATTTTCTACTGAATATGCAAACATAATTAATCATATTAAACACATACTGTTTCCCACTACTCTCCATACATTCAGTAAGTCTGCATAAGACTAATTACAGTAGGAAAAATACAACCAAACCATCAAGTAAATAACTCATTATCTCAAGTCTTCTGTGTACCAGGAGTTACATGTTGAAATTGTCTGTGGAAGCACACGTGCGTCCCAGTCAAATTTATCTCAAACACTCATCCAAGAGATTACTGTGTAGCCAGGTGAAACTGTTCTTTAACTCATCAAGGCAGAATCAGGACAGAGAATTTCCTATACATTTCCTTTCTGGAGAGTTTTCTGTTCAGCATTTTGCAATAAAAGCTGAGGGGTTTCCTCTGTCATCTTTCTATCTCTTTCATCTTTTTTCATCTTTCTATAACTTTACACAATACAAAAATACATTCTATCTTCGCTAAGCTTGCTTGTGGAAGTCAAAGTCACTGCTTAGCTTCTTTTAGAGATATAGCTCTCTCAAAATGAGGCTGAAGGCTCTGGAATGCCAGGGAATGGATAGATTTGCTTTCTCATGCATTTTCACGTACAGAAATGCAAAATAGGAAAGTGTATGACCTGAATTTCATAAAAATACTGCAGTGAATCAGCCCTCTGAAATATCTTTTTGCATCCTGTTTCTTGATGGTATTTGCTGTCTAATTAACCCTTCTCTTCACTCAAAATCTAACAGAAATGAATGAAGAAATAAGCAAGAATTTAGGCTTTTCTGAACAGTTACAAACAGCATCACCTTTACTTCCCTAGAATAAAGAAGGAGACAAATAAACAGGCCCACCTAATTTTCAGAGGAGATTAAACACAGAGACTTTAGTTTTGGATCCTTTAGAGGCTGATGCTAATAGGAAAGCTCTAGCCAAAGTCTGTGGGCTCTAAGAGCATCTTTACTGCTTAGGTAATAAAGTGGAGAGAGTTAATGGTAGGACGGCCACTCTTCTGCTTAGGACTGAATCACTAATCCGTGGCAGGAACTCATTCACCATTAGACTTCCGACATGCTGTACTGTTTGAATCAACAATCAATGATGAGAGGTTTGTTATTCCATCCCAAATCATATACTGTCAATTAAAACTTTGTACTGGAGGACAAACACATGAATGAGAAATGGTTCCAGTTTCATTATCTCAGTTGGTGTCTGGAGACTTACTTCAGAGTTGAAACACTGTGAATAATATTGTGGTATTGGTTAGGCTGGATCACAACTCCTTGAAATCTGTGGCACAGTAGCAGCCACCCTTATTCCACATAAAATTAAATTTGACTATTGCTAACAGATACTTTGCAGTTCACTGTCATATAACATCAGCAGATACTGCTGATATTACTGTCACAGTATCAGCAGAACTGCTCCTGAATACTTGTGTCAAAAGTGACAGAAACTGGCTTCTGATCTTTTATGGCAGGCCCTAATTACACAGTTGGGCATAAAGAATGACATTGTCACTCATGATATTTGGCTTAATGGTATACAGTGTTCTGCATGCTCTTGTGAACTAGATGCTTAATATATGACTGTCCTGATAAGGGCAGCTCAGAGAGGTTAACTCCTTCCAATCATTCAGTTTCTTTTCTTTCTTTCCAGAGCAATGTATTTCTGAAAGTTTGTGACAGCCATCAATATCTTTTCCTGATGGACTATTACATACCAAAAATAATACAATTGGCTGAATTTCTTTGGTGACAGAGACATGAATGAGAATTGTAACCACAGATTAGGAGATGCTCAGAACAGAGAATCAGACCTCACAAGCTCCATTCATGGCATCAGCACCACAGTGATCAATCCTCAGCACCTCAGCCTAAATATCAGGTATACCAATATCTTGAAATAATAAACCAGTCCTGCCATGCAGATTCCACTGAAAAAAAAATTCACAACAAACCATACACTGTGATCGCCATCATATTGGAGCCATTGATGAATTAAAAGCATACTATGTAATTTTTTGATATATTTTGTATTAGATAATGGGTAACAAGACTGCTAAATGACACACTGTTTACAGACACATACTTTTCATTACAGCAGTCTAGCAAGAAATACACAAGCTTTAGATATCTGCTGGGAAGGTAGCTGATATAATTCCTGCTTTATTAACGCAGAAAGTGAGGAAACATGACTTGTCCAGCACCAAATAAAGTGAATTGTCTATCCCTCAGGATGCTATGAAAACTCACTCTGCATCAGCTGATGTTCTTTCCAAAATCTAAGTCGCCATTCCTCATTCTTTCAGGAGTGATGCTGGTTGAGTGGCAATTTCCTTTTCTCTAAAGCTACTGGGATTACTTGAACTAATAACCACAATAACAACATAGCATCATCATATTTTCCATGAACACATTAGGCAACGTTAAGTAGAACGATTACATTTTTGTGTCCTGGTGCTTTGCTTACAACAGTTTAATTTCACTTCTTTTGACAAAGTTCATGGTTCCCTTCTATACAGAGTACAAAAAGAAGCCACTCTTTCCTTTTATGAAAACTGGTTGTACAAAACAATTAGAAGTGACTTAAAAAGAGGTAACTTCTATGATGAAGTTGTTTGACAGCAGCAGAATCAAGTATAATTACTCAAATCTTAGATGATAAGTGCAGGTTTTTAATGCAATTTAAGCACATTTTTTAAAACAGAAAATAACTGTGTTTTAACAGAGAAGTGACCTCTCAACCAGTATCATTCCAGTACCTTCTACAAGTATTAAATCCATCTGAAGTTCTGTAAAAGTACACTGATCACCATGATAATACTGAAAGTACCCTGGCACTTCTTCACTAGAAGTTTTATACTGTTACAGCATTCAAGTCAGTCTAGTGAAGAACATGGACTTACTGTAGCATACAGTTTAAGGTGAACTGAAATAGGTATCTCTCAGAACTATAGTAAAGAAGCTGCAAAAAATACATGACTTAGAGTACACTGTAGTTCAGCCTCTGCTCCCCTGTCATCCAGGAATTTAACGTCTTGATTCTTATAGACTGATAGCTGACAGTCACGTAGGGGTACAGATGATCACATTTTTTCCCTGAAAACTCAGTCCAACTTTCTCTTCTCCCCTTTCATGTTCCCACCTTCTTGTGATTTCCCCTATGATACCTAGCCCAGGTACCTATATATCCCCTTGCAGGGAGCTGTATGAGATTCAGACGTAAACCACAATAATTAAACAAATCATCATTTTTTTATCCCAATCAACTTCTTTGATTCCATGTCTGGCCACACAGATCAGGGAAAAGAACAACACAAGGAAAGGTCTGTGTGGAAGGCAGAGGATGAGACAGATGGAATAAAACACCATGGGAGTGGTTATTCAGCCATGGCCACTTAAGTAAATCACAGTGTTTGCCATGATAATTTCAGACCTCCCAAATCTTTAAAGCAGATGGGAAACTCCCTTTAGCTCAAGCAACTACAGAAGCTGAAGTCTGACAGAGTGACAGGTCACAGTGAAGCACGGGGTTGTGACAGTCCCTTTCAATCCTGTTTTTTTATTACTCACCCAGGTTTTTCCAGTTCTCTCCCTGGTTTACAGGTTTTTACAACTCTGAGCTGTGGCTAGCACACGTGCAAGCACAGTCACTAAACCACATTCTCTGTAAGCACACAAACAGCCTCTGCCTTCAATTATCAAGCCCTGCTTGAGAGATGAGACCTGCTACATCCTTCCACCACCACCAAAAGCAATGTGGTGACTTGCATGTGCCTTGTCTCCTCAGATGCTGTTACAGTCATAGCTCTTGTATACATGCAGTTAACCATACTGGTGGATTGGGTGGGTCAGCTTAATGCAGCATGAGTAGCAATAGAACCACCTCAGTAACCCTGCCATTGCCCAGATCTCTCAGTCTCTATGGATTGAGACCTCACCACAACAGTGGATGGTTGATAGGCCTTTGCAGTATGAACATTGCAGCATTTGCTGCAACAGAGAACAGTTATCCTTCATTCCTTTAAAAACAGTGGTTACTTTTAAACTGTGGTTACTTTTCAAAAATCTCTTTGTTCTGTGCAGCTTGATTCCTAAATGTACATCCTGGCTTTTAAAAGCACTGGTACAACTGAGTAGAGACCGAGAGCATTAAAATAAGATTTCTTGCTCACTCCTACACTATCAAACCTACACCCTCATTCACACAATTCCCTTACAAAAGCCTAAAACTAAATTCACTCACATCTGTAGAAAAAATGGCAGTCAGTTCATGTGAACAGTAAGGAATAGCAAAATATACACACACAAAAATGTGTTCTTAGACCTCAGGGCCTTCTGCAGAAGACAATAAAACTGGCTTATCTGCTAGAAACCAGTAGTTTATGCCCTAGAACTTCAAGAGTCCTATTCTGCATGCAGTGGCCAAACTCAGTTTTATTTTTGGTCTAAATCTTTGCTTTAGGAAACCACACATGTCTTCTGCTTTAAGAGAAGAAGTTTAAATAATATGTTCCATCTCAGTGACATTTCAGATAAAAGCACTCATTTTCTTGTCCAATGAAAGCATGCAAAAAACCAGAGATACAGTGTCAGAGTCAAGTTACAAACACTATGCTGGCAGAAACAAATAACTAACACTCTATGATGAAAACAGAACTTCCTGCAAGCATAGACATGGAAAACATGATGCAAAAAGGTCAGCTGGCACCCATTCAGACCCCTTAAGTCTTAGTCTGGCTTCTGCCACCAAAGCTCAAGTTAATGTGGCAGAAGGGACAGCAGAGAGAGAGGCTGGTGACACAGCACCTCAGCAACTGTCCCAAGAAGTTCACGGTATCAGAGGTGTTTTCCAAAGCACAGATCTGCAAGGAAGCTATGACAGCTTTGGTGTGCTGCACCCTTTCCGGCAAACTGATAACTCATAACATGCGCATGATGATTTTCAGATGCAAAGAATTACCCTTAGCTCCCTGTTTCTGAGAAACAAAATTTGCCTAAAATCATGTGGGAATCAGTGCAGCTCCTCAAATTGACTGCGAGTAACTCAGAAGTGATAATTTAATTGTGAGTATCTTCCAATTATCTATACCATAAATCAAAAACCTTGTCCTGAAACAGAGCTCCAGCAGATATAGCACCCAATCTACTAACCTTAAAACACAGCTCTGCGTGAGTATCAGAAAAGCTAAGTGAATGAAATAACAGAAGAAATCTGTTTCCCATGGTTTGGATCAAACCACTCAATATAGCAGGTAGGAAGAATGGCAGCAACTACAGTTGATTATTGACATTTTCAAACAAACCAAGGAAACAAAGTCAAGGTATTTGTACACATCTTCTGAAGAATGCAAAATATTTCACAGATCTGAGAGATGATGGTTTTGTAGCTCAAGAGCCTGGTTGTAGCCCACAACTTGGCAAGTGATACGATGCTTCAGCAGCATGCAATGACATGGCATAGCCTCTGCAAGTGATGGTGGGGTCATACGTATCTAGTTGTGGGATCTGTGCTTGCAAAACTCAAAGAAATAAATCATTCACAGTGTTGATTTGTATGTTCGTCTTAACTCACAGGTCTAAATTGACTTGATGTCTGAAGAGATTTTTCTGTGGAGAACAATTCTGATCACCACCCTGCAACTTCAGCATGTTCAACCTTACCACTTGGCCAAGAAGACCCACTCCTACACACAGGGGGAAAACCACAGAATCTGCCAAATAGAATACCTGGGACAGGACAATCATCCACTCTCCAGAGCTCTAAATCAGCAGTCTTGCAGGACCCACTTGGAGTAAAGAAACTGGGTTTTTTTGCCAACTGTGACACCTGAAATATGAAAGCAAGTAAAGGAAGTCAGAAACATGATATATCAAACAATTAATATTGGAAAGGGCACTTGAGAGTAGTAACTACCTCCTCCTAGGACTGCCAGCCTCCTCTGCAATTCGCTATACAACTGTTGCTGTAAGGATTGTTCACCTGGAGAGAGTTTAGGACAAAAAAAAAATGTGCTGCACTTTAATGCAGTTTAGCAGACAGTAACTGGCCAGAACCATATTGACTGGATAGCTCTGCACAGACCATAAAGTACCAGCACTAGAGGATGAATGCAGCAGCAGTATGTTCTAGGGGAAAACTGTGGAACTGCCTTCTTCCCTCTGTACACTGAAAAGTAACCAGTTTATGACTCTGCTTTTCTAATGTACTAAACTACTTTCAAAGCCTTCTCTGCATACTGCTTGACCTGTATTGTACTTCAGAAAGCATTTAACACAGAAAATAAAACTAATCACAAACTTATCTGGAAGGAGGGTTTGGGTGTGTTTTTTCTTTAAAAATTGTCCCTCTAGTAAGCACTTTATAGGCAGAAGTACAGTGTTTGATTACTCTTTACAGTTTGTGGTCAGAGCAACTCTCATACAGCACTAACTATGCTTGTAACTATGCACACAAAAGATTTACTATGACAGAAATATAGGGCCAAGCACTTAAAAGGTAGGAAAAGATGAAAACTTCCTTCAGTGCAAGTTAAGAATCTCACTTCTCAAATCAGGTTGCCCACAGCTGTGGCTAATAAACACCCAAGACTACAGGAAAAAAAAAAAAAGGAACAAAAATTATTATCCATACAACATACATAAGTAACCAGCAGGGAGGGTTAAGATGGGTTCTCTCCCCTACAACCACAGTAAGCAGTTTACTCTGAAGCAAAATGAATGAGCACTTCTTGTACTTGTGCAGCCACAGCTGCCAGCACACAGGGAAAGCACAGCTGACCATCTCTTGAAGGTCCATTTGAAGGACTCTGCTTTGCACTACAGGGTTCCCACAGCCTGGCACTGCTCAGTTTAGCTTTAATCAAGAGCCAATTGCTGATTTTTATCAAAAATCGACTGTAGCTGGCACAGTTTGAATGTGGGAGTTGTCAGGCGGCTAAGCTTCCTCCTACATAACTAGTTTATGCAGTATGTTTTCCACACCACATCCCTACCAATTTCTGACTAAGAAGAAAGAAAACTTAATAGCTTATTCTTTCTACTCTTACATTTTCTGTGTGTGTCACATGCTGTGACTCAAAAGGAAGGTCTTCATCTATCTCAGGCCCCAAACAGAGCAACACCATTGAAAACTTTTATTTGGTGGAATAATTAAAATGTTAGGAGGGGGGTTCTGTGATGATGTTTCCTCATGAATCCTTGAAACCTTAAGGTCATTTCACAGGCCATGGCTTCACAGAATAATTTTAGTGGGAACTGCTAAAAGGCAGTCTCAAATCTTGACACTTTTTAACTAAGTGTAGATGCTGGGGAGCATACCTTGCAGGACAGACTGTCTTATCAAAGACACGTACAAAGCAACATCTGGTTACAATGATTGCAGCAGTGGAGGGATTCACAGAACCGCCAGTATACCACTAAACACATACATATCACCTGTATACCAGAAAGATTCCTATTTCCTCAAAGTAATATTGCACAAGACTCACGTACTTACATGACACTTAAGACATCAGAAGCAGAGGTTGGTTCAGAGTAATTATAGCAAACAAAAAAAAAACACATCAAAAAAAACCACCACCAAACCCAACAACAACAAACCACAAAGCAATGAAAAAAACACCAGAAACCCCAGAAACCCCAATAACCACGAAAAAACCAGCAGAAGACTCACCCCCAAGAAAGAAGGAAACAAAAAAAAAGCAAAAACAACAAAAAAAACAAAACCCCAAAAACAACAAAAAAGAAAACAACAACAACAACAAAAAAGAAAGAAAGAAACACAAAACCAGATCACTGAAGAGAGAAAACAGGCAAGTAGGAAAGCCAGCAAAATAGTGGAGAAATCGTTGGGGTAAACAGCTCTGTACTATCTGCACTACCTGCACTTAATCTGAGTCTTCTATCTTATGCTTTAATAGGTCACCCCCCAGTTTGAGAATCTGAATATTTGGCACTTTACTATGCATTAATATTCTGCTATTGTAACACTATCTTAAAAGAAAACCCAAGAAGGTTTTAAGATACAATCTTTGCAGATAATTTGGAGAACCTTACCCAAATCATAATTCATACATTCAATTAAATTGTATTTAACTGTAGAAAAACAAAAACAAAAAATATCCTCCCAAAACATCTGTTATTGCTTTTTCTTAGAAGATGAGGTTAGAGCACCTGAGGTTTATACCCTACCACAGCCTTCCCCTTGCTTCTGTACAGTCTTCCAAAAGCACTTGGATCAGCACCAGGCTTTTCACCCATTCATCCAGACCATGGCCTAGATGCCATACCAGGTCTCACATCATAACAGAAACAAGAGTATATGTTATATTGTTGAATGTCTCCATGCCTAGGTTCTGTACCTCTTCCCCTCTCCTACTTCCTGCCAGAAACACACAAAAAATAATGATGCTGAGATATTTTTTCACTACATATTTAGCAGTTCTATTACATAGTTTTATTATATTTATTCTAACATTTTATTTTATCCATTAGAATTTGATAGAATTTTTTAACAATATTAAGAATGGTGATTAAACTCACACAAAATTTTAGCACTTGTAATTTATTCCTAACTTGGCAGTAAGCCAAAACAGCTTTAGACCTACTGCCTTTAGGATGCTTTCATTGTTTCGATTGCTTCATATATAAGTGGTTAGGAAATTGCATTGCTACCTTGCAATTCTTTTTCCTATTTCAGTTACATCTTTTGCCACTCAGTGCATTCCATACATTTATAATTTTGATCCAGTCCCAAATTATTTAAGTATACCCAGCTGTTTCACACACTGTACCTGCTATCAGAGAGGTAGATGCCATCAGAATATTCAAGGCAGCAATCATAACAGAATCCAAGAGTACTCCCAAATAATACATCTGTTCTCTGAAAAGAACACCACCCAGGTGACAGACTGAGAAGACTGGATCCCTATCCTAACACAGCAGGGACTGAAGTCCAAACTTGCTTTAGAAAAATTAATGAGAACCCAAGACAGCAAACCAAACATCCAAGTTTCTAAGCAAGCAGTTTTTTGAGGGAGCTACTAACTTAGAAGTACAGTACTCTGATTCCTGCAAGACTTGAAACTTCAACTAGAAGTCTTCTCCTTCTTTAGGAGTCACCAGTAATATCTAGGGAGTACCAAGGTGAAAACCATTGGAGATGTATCTGCAGATGTCATGATTACAGTCAATGGGATGGTAATTAATAGTTTCTCCCTTCATGTGCTACAGACTCGCATCTCAGTGATGCTGTAAGATCAGACAAAGATTCCATAACTCTTCCCTCTTCTGTTCTTTCTCTATGAGTAATTTATATCCCTTCTATTCCTGTCTTCCTTTCAAAATACCCTCTTCATTTGCCTTGCCCTTTTTTTTCCTTTCTCCTCTTCTTCACTCATCCAGAAACTGCATCAGGCTTCGGTTTAACTGTCAGCTAAGCACCGGTTCAGAAGGCTGACAGCAAAGGCTGCTGGTTACATCCCATTTTGTCTCTATTGATTCTCATAGCTTCAACTATGGAAAACAATCAGGCAAACATACAAAGATAGTGTAAACCACCTGCATTTGCTGTCCTTTATATCACTATGTTCAGACGGGTGCAGTTATTAAATTATTGCATGTGTGTGGGAGTACATGCAATTAGAGGATTATTTTCCTTGTGGACTTCCTGTTTTAAGAACAGGACAACATATTACAAGTTATAAAGCCTGTAAGACCAGAACCTATCACACAATTCTTTAGCTGCTTACTCTAAAATAAAAGGACATTAGCTCCATTTAGGCCAGAGCCAGACTGATGTGGCACACAAGAGAATTTAAGATAAACCCCACTACTTACTCTGTGATTCATTATTTAATACACCTTCTTAAATTGGCATGAAAAGTGTGATAAGTGATATATAAATTTATATAAGTGATATATAAATTTAGAGAACATGGTCACTTTAAAGGAACATGATAAAATATAGGAGAAGCTTCAAATTCTGAATACAGCAGTTATAATTACAATGGAATAATCTACTACTGCCAGAAAATCAGGATTTTCCGAATTCTGCTAAGCATCATCATTTTTCTGTTTCTTTTAGGTCCAGCTTCTTTGTTGTAAAATGAATATGGACACTGGCACTATATTTTCTGCTAAAAGAAAAAAACAAAAGTCAAATCAACAGACAAAACTTGTAATGCCCTAAATATGCAAAACCAAAGACCTAACTTGCAATGCAAGCACACATTCAGATTCAAATATATCTATTCAATCACTGTATCGAACAGAACCAGTTAAATTAAGCTTGCAGCAGTAAAGGGGTCATGTCGATACATTTCAACAAACAGATGACTTTCAGAAATCCATCCAGATTTCTGAATGGGTTAACTGAGATTTACTTTATTATAAAAATACTGTTAAATCTTATGAATACAATTAAACCGTAAAGGTTCTTCCAAAATGGTGTAGGCCCCATGCAAACTGCACTATTCCAGTGTAATTTCATGAAGCACATTGCTTCTACAGAGAGGTATGTAGATGCAGCATGTAGCTGTTCTGGCCTACAGAGATACAACAGGTTCCCTTCACATCTTGCAGATTTCATTCAAAGCTTGTCTCTTTGATGTAATCACCAATTTTTCAGGAGACACACCCATGGAGGCAGAATATAACCCTTAACTTCTAATACACAGGTACCCATTCAAAACCCCTTGAGCCTAATGACCTAATACCCTGAAAAACTCCACAGAACAGATGTTACCTATGGCAGGTTGGAGACATGAAACTTAACTGTTGACAGCAGTCTTTCAATATACTGACTCATATTTCACCTCTGTGGCAGAG